GCTGGGGACCCCATACGCAAGACGTTGCCAGCCCACCACCTGCTCTAAGGTGACCAAGCAGGATCACTATGCTGAGGTTCAATCGAGTTCTTGGGGGATCTTACTCTCTAGCAGGGGTAGCAAATTAGTAGCCACTCAGTGCTCACTTTGAGAATTACTTATATCATAAATTTGAGCATGTAGCTGATGAATATCCACAGACAGGAACAACAGCAACTTTGCATGAAGGTGGTTCTTAGGAGGAAACCAAGGCCAAGGCCAGAGGGATAGGCAGGGTAAGCCTCCCACCCTCTCCAGTCTACAGCTCTGTAGCCGCTTGCTGGGGAGGCCAGAGGAGGGAGCAGCAGTAGCCACAGGTTGATGTGCAAGGATGGCCTAGATGTTGGGAAGGCTCTGGGCTTTCACAGCACTCCGACAAGGCATGGGAGCTGACATCCTTAATCCAGGTAGAGAATCAGTTAGCAAGTCCAAGATTTGGGAATGAATGTGGAGCAAATGAAGTGTCTAGTCCTTCCTCAATGGGTGCGGTGAGAATGTAGGCCCTAGGAGATGGCTGTGGGAATGCATGTCACTGTTCTGGGGTAAGTGAGAGGTAGGGCAGGGCTGCAGGGTAGGAAGTTGAGGACAGGGTGGGGTGGGGTGGGTTGGAAACCAGGGCTGGCTGCCTCAGGAGAGCCAGCTGGGAGCTTTTAGTCAGCCATGTGTGTTCACCATCCCTGACCCTGTCCAGCTTTCGCATCTTCTGACAGGATTGCATTTGCAGAGAACAGAGACCCCTCCACTTACTTGCTCTTGCCCCAGCTGTCCATCCCCAGCTCTGTCCTAACTTCTTCTCCATCCAACTCCGGAGACCTGTGGTTTCTATCCCAACCAGACTGGCTGCGAGGGCATGGCCATGGGGATAGGGTAGAAAAATCAGCACAAGGGGCCCGGGCTCAGCGTAGTGGTAGCGGCTGCCTGGGCCTCCATCCACATTGCAGGCAGATTCTGGGCTTACCAATTAACATGCGTGGCAGAGGGCTGGGGATAGGTTTAGAATCATCCAAGAAGGTAGAAAGGGCATCCACGCATTCCCCACAAACCTGGCTCTGAGAGTTTCCCACATGATAGGCACTCAGGAAATGCCGTTACTATTCTCTGAACTACCTACTGAAACAGTTACTTAGTGTATTTTACCACCCATTTCAATATTTCTTTAACACATACTGGTATACCAGTTCACCTTTCATTCCAACAAATATATTTATAAGGGAAATGGAAACCCTTTATAAAGAGAATTACTTGCCAACAAAAGGACGTGATATAAATTAATCATTCTACTTAGAAATAAATGATATATGTAAGTAAACATTTATTTATAATTTATTTGTATATGCTGTTGTTATTAGGTTCCAACTCATAGCAACCCTGTATAGGATTTCCAAGGAGTGGCTGGTGGGTTTGAACCACCAACCTTGTGATTAGCATTCCAGTGCTTATCCTTATTTATATATTTGTTGTTGTTAAGTGCTGTTGAGTCAGTTCTGACTCACAGTGACCCTATATACAGTTTCCGAGGCTTTAAATCTTCAAGGGAGTAGAAAACGTCATCTTTCTCCCATGAAGCAGCTGGTAGGCAGGCCTTGTGGTTTGTAGGCCAGTCTTATCGTATGGGACCATTGTGCTCCCCATATATATATGTTGTTGTTGTTAAGTGCCATCAAGTTGGTTCTGACTCATAGCGGCCCTGTATAGGGTCCAAGGAGCAGCTGGTGGGCTTGAGCTGTCGACTTTGTGGTTCCAAGTGTTGATTCTACAGCACCACACCAGGAGTCCCTATCTATACATGGTTGTTGTTGTCAAGTGCTGAGTCATATATTTGTAATTTATTTCTATTTATCTCTCTCAATATTCATATATTGTTGTTGTTAAGTGCCGTCGAGTCGGTTCTGATCCATAGGGATGCTGCATAGGGTTTCCAAGAAACAGCTGGTGAGCTTGAATCACCGACTCTGCAGTTCAAATCAACTTTCCAGTCCAGTGAATTACTCACAGTGTCACACCAGGACTCCATATCTGTATATCGGCAAATAGAAATAAATTATAAATATTTTAAATAAGTATATAAATAAACATGTTTACTTATAAACACATAAGCAAGCAGCTAGATACTGTGTTCCTCCTAAACGTTCACTACCCATGGCCGGTTCTTATTTTGTTAAACAGGTAGGGATGTGCTGTGACCAACTCGACTCATCAAAAGACTGAACAGTATGAAGGGGAAATATTTCCTCACCAAGTCCTATTCAATATTATCTAACATGGTCTATTCACATCTAGGTCCCGGGGCAGTGCAAATAGTTTATGCTCTACTCTGCAGGATAAGCATTAAACTACAAACCACAAGGCCTACGATTTAAGCCCACCAACTGCTCCATGGGAGAAAGATGAGGCTTTCTGCTCCTGCAAAGGTTATAGCCTCGGAATCCTATACAGGGTCACTAGGAGCATGGACTCGGGCTGAGCTCCTTCACTGGAGCTCACAACCTTCTTCAGCCACGCTCTCCTGACTTTGGTGACCAGAATGTATCTCTGAGAATCTGCAGACTCAGGATCCAGCTGCACATCTCCATGTCCCTCCTCAGGCTCTGTATGGGATTATTTTTGTTGTTAAGTGCTATAGGGTTGGTTCCAACTTTTATCTGCTCTATGTAGGGTTTCCGAGGCTGTAAATCTTTGTGGGAGAAGAAACCCTCATCTTTTTTCCCCAGAGAAGCTGGTGGGCTCGAACTACAGACCTCATGGTTTGTAGTCCAGTGTTTATCCTACAGAGTCAGTTGTTGCTGTTGTTGTTGTTAGTACTGTAGAAGCAGTTCAGACTCACAGTGACGCTGTATAGAATTTCCAAGGAGCGACGGGTGAAGTTTAACTGCCCACTTCGCGTTTAACAGTCCAGTGCTTACCCTATAGCACCACACCAGGACTCCAGTCGGCAAGATCAGTTCTAGACCCACAGCTGGACCCTGCTGGAAGGTCAGGACAGTGAAGCCACTTACTCACCTGCTCAGAGGTCCAGCTGCCGTTGAGTTGACGCTGACTTGTGCTAACTCCATGTGGGTCACAGTAGAGTTGAGCTCTGTGGGGTTTTCAGTGGTGGAGTTTTCAGAAGTAGATTGCCAGGCCTGTCTTCTGAGACAGCTCTGGGTGCATTCGGACCTCCAGCCTTTTGGGTAGCAGTTGAGCCCACTAACTGTCTGTACTACCCAAGGACTCCTACATCTGCTCTTAAACCCAAAAGCTTGCTGCTCCTGAGCCAGTTCCGATTCATGGAGCCCCCCAATCGTCACAGAGTAGAACTGTGCTCCAGAGCGCAGTTCTTGGACTTCATGGCAACAGGTTTGCTTCTTGGAATCTTTGGAAAGCAGATCACCAGACCTTTTCCCAAGGTGCCTCCTTTGCTTAGCAGCTGAGTGCATTCTCTGTTTGCCCTGCCCAGGGGCTCCACCAGCCGCTGTTTGCACCACTTTCTTGATTTATTCCAGCGTCTTTTCTGAGATCCAGGACTCTTCATGCTGCTCCCAAGCCCTTGTGGACAAGCTGCGTTGACTGCCTCAGTCTTCCTGACACGTTCCTTTTGTCTTCTCCATCAGACTGGAATCTCCTGAGGACAGGGCCTGTGACTCCCCAGTCAGACTGGAGGAGCCCCAAGAACAAGGACGGATCTCCCTAGGACAGGGCTGTGCCTCCTCCATCCTCCACCATCACCCCTTAGCAGCCAGGTCCTGGCCCGGCCACAGTGGGGACAAGGGGCCTGGGGAGAGAGGGACAGTAATGTCAGCATCAGGGAAGTGGTTCTGCCCCTGCCATCTCTGTCCCAGACCTGCTGTTGGGATCAGCTGGGGACCAAACTCCAGGATCTACGTCACCCCCTTGGCAGACAAGTGGATTTATGTGCCCCTGACAGTGTAATGTCCTCAAATTACCCCACACAATGGAGAGAGGTTGGGCTCCCTTTAGGCAGTGACCAAAGAAACTTGGAGTCTGGGGCAGCTGGTCATCTCCCAGATCCCAGCTGGAGATGTCCCAGAGCCTGTTGGGGGAGGCTGGTGAGACAATGGGCACACCTAGGTGTGCACCTCTATCCGGGAGTATAAGTAGGCAGCTCTGGGACAGTTCTGTACTCCAGCCAGCAGCCTTCCAACAAACGCTTCTCATCACCCCAGGACCTGGCGCAGTATCATGAGCTGAAGGCAGTTCACACGGTCCGACTGGAGCTGCAACAGCTGTGGGGGCTTCTCAGGGACTGGTGGAGGAGGGGGCAGGTTTAAGTTCTTCCAGGAGCTAAGGCAGGAAAAGCTCTGGTACCTGTGGTAGGGGAGGAGGTGGAAATTTTTGCTCCGGCTGTGGTGGAGGATCCGGGTGTGGGTGGCTTCAGTGCTGGTGGCCTCAGTGGAGGCTCCAGGGACTTCGGTGGTAGTTCTGGAGGAGGCTTTGGTGGGTCTGGGGGCAGTGATGGTGATATTCTGACTGCTAGCGAGAAGTCCACCGCCAGGGCCTCAGTGCCCGGCTGGCCTCCTACTTGGATAAGGTGCAGGCCCTAGAGGATACCAACGCTGATTTGGAGAATAAGATCCGGGAGTGGTACCACAATAATGGCCCGAGACCTTCCAAAATGACTGCTCTTCCTACTAGGATGATGTTGAAGATCTCAAGAACCAAGTAGGTAGAGGAAGCTCCAATTTCTCTGTCTCAGAAAGTTAATCTTATTTCTCCTGGATTCCCACAGTGATATGTCTTGATTTTTTAAAGATGGACTTGGTTTTCTTTGTTGGAATCAAATACATATGCTGACTATTCAAGCGATGGGTAGGATCTAGAACTTTAAGGATGGAAGCCTTCCATCCACACGTTCATCCACCCTTCTCCCCATCTGTACATTTACCTGTCCATCTACTCCTTTATCAATCCATTCCATTTAACAAGCGAGACCTCTTTGTTGTTCTGGGCAGATACAGTGATGTGTTAGATGTGATCTCTGCCCTCGCTCGGGGAGTTCACAGTATGGTGATTTATTGTTACCACCCGTTCCATTTGGTTTCATATGATGCTTCTGAACCATGCTTCAGAGCCCAATCCAGTTGCCACTTCTTCCCTAAAGTCTTTGATTTCCCATAGTCATGTCTCCTTTTCTTGAACTCTTTTAGGATATGTAGGATTTGTTGTTGACTGTAGGCTCCTTGGGGAACAGTAGCTCATTGATCTGTAAACCCCACAGTTATTTGTAGTAGACTTTTAAAGGTTTGTTGAATGAATGAATGAAGGCCACACTGAGCATCCTTGCTGAAGGTCTGTGCCAACTACCAGCAAGGTCTGTGCCAACTACCAGCCACTGCAAGCTCCTTCCAGGTTGGCTCCTCACTTCCTAGGGCTTTGTCTGGCCTATCTCCCTCCAAGCAATGGGCATGGCCCAGGAGCAGGGACACCATACTGTCTCCTCTTTTTTAGATTGTGAGCATCATGGTGGACAACAACAAAACTCTCCTGGACATTGACAATACGTGTGTGATGCTGGATAACTTCAGGATGAAGTGAGTCCTGCTGTGGGGGCCCTGTAAAAACGGATTCTCCTTGCTCATTCCCTTTTTAAGGTTTGAGATGGGGCAGGAGCTGTGGCAAGCAGTGAATTCTGACACCAATGGTCTGTGCAGGCTACCGGATGACCTGACCCATGCAGAAGTTTGATTTGGAGATGCAATCTGAGATTCTGTAGGAGGAACTGATGATGGTTCTCAAAAAAAACCCATCACAGGGTATGGTCCTGGCTACTTACAACTTGCTGTGGAGGAGGAGGAGACAGACGTGCCGAGGCAGCAGTGAAGAGAACTATGGAGCATTTCTGGGGGGTCACTCTCCCCCTTACTCTTGAGGACAACTATCCAAGACCCCTTAGTACTTACTGCCTGTGTTTGTGGTTGGACTTTGGCTTCAGAGATGTAACCCCTGTTTTTCTCCTGGAGGGAGTATAGGGAGAGGGTAGGAAGGTTATAGAGAGAATTCATCTTTGTGACCTCATATTCCCATCTTCTCTTGCAGGAGATGGACAAGCTGACTGGGCAGAACTCTGGGGATGTCTGTGTGGAGATGAACGCTGCTCCTGCCCAAGATCTCACCAAGGTCCTCAATGAAATGCGACAGGAGTATGAGCAGATCATTGCTAAGAACTGTAAGGACATTGAGGAACAATATGAGACTCAGGTAAGCAGTGTGGGCTGTATCCCTCCATTCTTCCACCCCCATCACTCCATTCCCTATCCCTTCATCCTCTCATCCTTCTATCCCTTCTCATCATCTTCCCAGTTCTCTATCCTATACTTTCTCCTCTTACCCTTTTGTTCACCCCCTACCCTTTCACCCCACCTTTCTATCCTCTGTTTTATCATCCTCCAATCCCTTTATCACCAATCCCTTCATTTTCCTACTCCTCCATCTCAATTCTTCTATCCTTTCCTCATCCCCTCATTCTCCCAGCCCTTCATTTTTCAATCTGGTTGTCATTCATCACTTTATAATTCAACACACACATAATGATTGAGTAGCTTCTCTGTGCTAGATTTTATACGAAGTCCTGACTTTTCCGAGATGTGCTCTTGAGAAGCTACAGTGTGTTTGTGAACAAAAGCAGAGCATGAACAACTTGCTGTAATGCTATGTAATGTAAGATTAATAGAAGTGTACAATATACCTCCCAATGTAGACTGTGAGCTCATTGATGCTAGAAACTGTGCCCTCTTCCTCCCTGCCTCTCTAATGCCTACTATAGAGGCTGGCACCTGAGCACATGGGTCTCTGTGTGTTTGTGTTTGGAGGGTAGGGGAAGTTTGAAATAAGAGTAGAAAAGTGGTTTTGGGACAGAGTGTGAAGAGTTTTGCAACTTTGCTGAAGAGGAATTCAAGGCTGAGTCTTGAATCTGGTTGGAGGGACCTAGCACTCAGAATGACTTTGTCTTGACCTTGGTTCAGCCTTGACTCTGGAGGTGAAGGTCCTAGTGGATGGGACAAAACATTGCCCACCACTCACCCTGGCCTAGCCTAGTCCTCACTGGGCCTTTGGACTTGCAGATAACCCAGATTGAGCAGGAGGTGCCAATGAGTAGCCATGAGAGGAAGTCTAACACTAAGGAGATGCCCCAGGTCCAGCACAGTGCTCATGAGTTGGATGTGGAGCTTCAGTCTCAGCTCAGCGTGGTTGGTGGTCCTGCTCCAGGCCCTAGAGGGTGGGGCACAGGGAGGCTCTACATGGTCCCTGGGGGTGGGGAGGCATCCTTTTTAACATTCTGCCATTCTCTAGAAATCTGCCCTGGAGAAGACATTGGAAGAGACCAAGACTTGCTACTGTGGCCAACTGAAACTGATCCAGGAGCAGATGAGTAAATTGGAGGCCCAGCTCACAGAGATCTGGGCAGAGATCAAGTGTCAGAACCAGGAGTACAGTCTTCTGCTCAGCATCAAGACACAGCTGGAGCAGGAAATTGAGATCTACCGCAACCTCCTGGAGGGTGGCCAGGAGGACTTGTAGGTGCCCCAGGACCCTAGAGAGTCCCTAGATCCAGACCCCTGATGGACAAAGGCAGCTAGGTGGGCAACTTTGCACAAGGGTCTGATGGATTGAGCATTTCTGTAGTCTGTGGGGTATCTCAAGGGTGTTTGGACTTTGGGAAAGAAAGAGGGTGACAGTGAAAGAAGGGACTGCCATTGTGCTCCAAATATTCCATCTGGAGGCTGCCTTCTCCTAGCTGGGGTGTCAGCTCAACCTCTAGGAAAAGAAACTTAGGAAGGATGGTATTTGGGTTTTGACTCTGTCCAGATCCGTCCTGTGGCTGTTGTAGGGGTCACTCATTTTCATTTATTTCCTTCACAGTGAGTCTTCTGGAGCTGGACTATTTGGCTTTGGAAGTGGCAAAGGAAGTGGAGGAAGACAAAGTCGAGGAGGAAGTAGATCTCAATGTGGAAATGGAGCCAGCCATGGCAAAAGATCCAGGCGAGGGAGAGGAGGTAACTATGGTAAAGGAAGTGGTTCTGGAGGAGAAAATGGTGGCAGTTATGGTGAAGGAAGTGGATCAGGAGGTCAAAGTGGAGGCAGCTATGGGGGAGGAAGTGGGTCCAAAGGAGGAAGTGGAGGTGGGTATGGGGGAGGACATAGATCTGGAGGAGGAAATGGTGGCAGCTATGCAGGAGGAAGTAGAAGGCAATCCCAGCCGCAGTCCTCTTCCTCAGAATCAGGTGACTGTGATGATACATAATGAGGTAAAGCATGGACATGACTCAAGAGTTAAATTAGTGCCCATTTTTGAGTATCTTTAAGCTTCTCTGAAGAACATACCTTCTGAGCAGAACTAGATTTTAGGGAGGTCTGTAGTGAGGTACTATAAGGAACCCTGGTGGAGCTGTGGAATACATGTTGGTCTGCTTGTGGTTACAAGGTCAGCAGTTCAAACCCACCAGCCACTTCATGGAAGAAAGATGAGGCTATCTGCTCCCCTGAACATTTACAGTCTTGGAAACCCTGTATTGGGTCACTATGAGTTGGAACTGACTTGAGGACAGTGGTTTGGTTTTGGTTTTGGTAATGACGTAGCATAGAACCTGTCCTCAATTTGGAATTGATTATCATTTTGAAAGAGCATTGGATAAGGCTGGGACCAAGTCTACACATGACCTTAGTCTCAGTATTCTGGGAATTGTGCAGTAGCTCAGGTATTTCCTACAACACTATATGAGGCAGGTTCTATGATTATTGCCATTTTAAGATAAGGAAAATGAGGGGTTAAGTAACTTTACTCAAGGTCATACAACTCAGAAACGAGGAACTTAGCCCTGTGGACACCATGGCTAGTACCTTAACCATCATGAGGGTGGGGAGACCTGTATCAGCAACAGTTGAGGTGGAAAAGGATTTTGTCAATGGTTGGTTTGTACAAGCCAGTTATTGAGGCATATATTAGATGTGATAGTCTAAATGGAAGAAAGAATCATAGGGAAAGTGGTCTCTAGATCAGAGAAAATTTCTCTGCAATCACAACGGTTTATTAAAAACTGTACTTTGAATTAGTTGATTTTTTACACATTGATTATTATACAAGAAAGCAATCAATATGAAGCAAAAGCCTGGCTAGCATGCCTAGGAATGGTTAGCTCAGAAAGGCCTGAAGTGCCAGGGAGCTGGCCTTTGTTAGTGTCTGGTGTGGTTTTGTGTGCCAAGTGGCCCTGTAAGGCTATGGATGGCCTTAATATTTAAGGGATTTTTTGGGTAACAAAGCTGTTGAATGGTGCTAGGGCTGCCTCATAAGTTCCCCATCCTTAGAAATGGCTGAGCGTCTGTCAGGGTTGTGTAGAAGAGATTCAAGACTTGGATGGTGGCCACTAGACTGGGTGACCCCAGGGCCCCTGCATCTCAGGACTCTCCAGCCTTTTGAGTTCCAGACTCCTTACTCCCAGTTTTTCTCCAAGACCTTGCTCTGTCTTCTTGCCCTCACTGTTCTCTCATCTCTTCCCAGGCTATGAGATATGATGCTAGAGCTCCTGAAATCTTTCAGCGCTCAGCCTCCACTGAGGATCCCCAGATGGGCAGAGTTTGGATGAAATCTGCTTATCACACGCCAACATCAGGAATGGTTGGTGTCAAACTGGGGTGGTTTGGGCTGGCTTGGCATGTGTGGTCCTGGCTGCCCATTGACTCCTTCCTCTGCTTGGCTTTTATGACCTCAGGGTATGGAGACCTCCCTTTCTCTGTCTGGCCTACTTGGTCCTAACTTCCTAATAAAGCTTTCCTACGGCACTTAACAACAACAACAACAACTGCAAACCAGAATTTTGACATGGAGCTATTTGTTCTTTGGGATTAGAAGGGACAGAAATGGAGTGAAGGGAGAATCAAATGAATCCATTTTAAAAAGTGTTGATTACCTTTTGTTCATTAACAGTTGCTTGTAACAAAACATTCTGCAGTTTGCTGGTTTAAAGAATATGCATTGATTTAGCTCACAACATTGCAGTTGGAAATTTAGATGGAAATTTAGACTGGGCTCAGCCGGGCAGTTCTGGGCTCCTCTATATATTCTTTGTGCCACTAGGTGATGGTGTCTGGGGGTTGGCTGGATGCTGGTTGAGGTGGCAGGGGCAGGGGGTAAATGGGTCATATTGTTTTCATTCTTCCAGGTGTCTAGCCCGAGCAAGTGTTCTAAGGTAATGAGCAGACGTGTATAAGGTCTTGTGAGTCTTAGATTCAGAGCAGTCAGCTTGGCTGCATTGGTTTGGCCAAAGCAAATCACAACCTAGTCCAGATTCAAAAACAGGAAAATAGACTCTTTCTCTTGCTAGAAGGAGCTGTAAAGTCACATTGCAAGGGACATGGAGCTGTAAAGTCACATTGCAAGGGCAATAGTTTGAAAACAATCTACTGTAGTCTATCAGCAGGTCATATGGAATCCTTCGGAGACACATGATTAAGCACTTGCCTATGAACCAAAAGATTGACACTTCAAATCCACTCAGAGGTGCCTTGTAAGAAAGGCCTGGCAATTTATAGCATTGATCTTTCACTTCATTGAAAATCTTACAGAGTGCAGTTCTACTCTGAAGCACCTAAGTTGGAAGAATTCAGTGATAAGCAGTGTTTGGTTGCATGTTAGTTTGATAGGGAAACAAGATAAAAATGATGTGGTCTTTGCTTTGGGAGATTTCAAAGACGGTGAAAAATAGGGTCATAGATAAGATGTGACAATGCAGAGTAAGGGACATTTCCTTGGCAGCAATCAATAATGTTCTCTAAAGATTCTGACTGGGTCTGATAGACCGACACTCCTTCCCATGGCTGGGGATAGACAGCCCCTCAGTCTATGTGCCAGATACTGTGTCCCAATACGCAGCCGTCATCCCCGAACAGAAGGCTAAAAGCAACATCTGTTTTGTTTGCACATCTTGACAGGGCTTGATGGAGACAGCTCACCTTTGCAGGGTGGGGGCTGGGATCATCTGAAATGTTGCACTGGCCCAGCTGGGGATCCTCTGCATCTGTCTCTATCTCTGTCGAAGACTCTCAATCTCATCACTCCAGCCCAGTAACTTCCAAGTGGCCAGCCTTCCTACCTGCTGACTCAGTGTTCCCAAGACCTAGGTCCGTAGAGAGAAAGAGCCTGGAAGAAGCTGTTTTGTTTTGATGTTCTAGACTCGGAAGTTAGGCAGTTCTGTGGGTTCTGTGGTATTAATCTGGGGTCGCTATGAGTAGAGTTGACTTGATGGTAACTGTTTTTTTGTTTGTTTATTCTGTGTCATGGGTAGGAAATGATATCTCTGCTCTCACGTGTCGCTCAGTCTAGTGCTGGAGGCAGATAAGGAAATTGGCAATTTCTGTTTAGTGCAGTGAGTGTCATCAGTGATGTGACGGTGCTGGGGGCTGTGAAAGCAAAGGGGTCCCCAGACCAGGTCTTGATGGTTGGGGAGGCTTTCTGTGGCAGCCACGAGTCTGGGATGTCCATGTTCCATCTCATCTATTTCTATGTGAGGTAGATATTTTTGCTTCTATTTCGGATAAGGAAACTGAGGCTTAGAGAAGGGAAGGAGCTTGCCCGAGTTGTGCACACCAAGGTTGGCTTGGCTCTAAATCCCACTCTGTCATCTGGCCTCAAACAATTTTCAGTGCTTTCTAAGAGACGCAGGAGAAAGATGAGGCTTTCTGCTCCCGTAAAGATGTACAGCCTCAGGTACCCTATACAAGGTCGCGATGAGTCGGAGCTGACTCGACAGCACTTAACAACAACAAAGATAAGACATGGGGTTCCTATGAGCTATGATGAGAAACTGTGCAGACAGCTAAGAGCAGGCTCTGTGATCTCTAGCCTCAGTTTCCCTCAAAAAGGCAGACAGTTTGAGCTTGTTAAGGTAATGAATGAGTGAATGACTACGGAAGGGATAAGAACATTGGACCAGCTTGTCCCCTCTGTACAACACCATCTGGTTCTGGTCTCAAGAATCTTGGTGGCTTTGATCTTCCTGAGTTTTCTTATGCATCTTTGCTGCCATTAGCGTCCTCAACCTGGAGACATACCAGTCTCAGCTGAAAGCAGACCAAATCCAGTCTAACGTGATTTCTTTTATCCATTCCTCTCAGCATGATTAAGGTACATTGGGAAACTGTTAGAAGGAACTTTTGTCATGATGGAGGGAAACCTCAGGGAAGTGAATCAAGGAAACACAAAACCCTTAATAAAGAGTCAGGTTTGAGATCCAACGATAGAACGGGAATGGGGGTGCGGGGGAAAATGGATGTTTCCAAGTTCTCTGCTCATTGGGTGCCCCAAGAGACTTTATTGCTTATACCTCCATTCAACACATGCTAATTTAGGACCTGCGCTGCTCATTGTTAGCTGCTGGGATGGCAACCGTGACCCAGACACAAGCTCTGCCACCGAAAAGCCTCATGGGGAGATTGGTAAGTAACAGCAGCTATAATACAATGTGCTGAGTCCCACCATGGGGTAATCCTGGGATTTTGAGGGCACAAGAAGAATGCCTGACTCACTCTTGAAAGTCAAGAAGCATTTAGACCTTGAGGGATGGGTTGGATTTATTGGGACAACATTTGGTGGAGACGCGGTGTGTGTTCTAGGGAGAGTGTGTGTTCTGGGCAGGAGGAACTGCATCTGTAAGTAAGAAAGTGGAAGCACTCTTCCTAGGTAGTTGTGCAGAGTGTAAGGAGGAACTAGTGAGAGATGAGTGGGTTGGTGGGGGACAGGCAAGTCATAGAAGACTTGCTTACTGAGGACACTGGATCATATCCTGAAGGTCACCATTCAGTTCATGTTCCCTCTGTGTGGGATACTATTGGCCAAGAAGTGCCTATCATCTGTGCTCTGGAGAAATCTCTTGAAGACAATGTGGAGAGTGATCTCCAAAAGCTGCAGGAGACTTGAAGAGCTTGTCAAACCACCAGCATCCATCTTCTCTGAGAAACCACGGTGGGTGAACGATGTCACCACTTCAACAGATTTCCCTGTGTGTCCATCACACGCCTTCCCTCATGCAGATCCCCTCTGCCCAGCTAGGCGCTGTGTCTGAGGAGTGTGCTCCATTGATCCAACAGTGATCACCACTGGTGTGGTCATCCTTATCTCCCACCCCAGCCTCATCATTATTGAAGCTGGAGCTCTTCTGTGCCAGAGCAGTGGCAGAACTTCACTTACTTCCTGCAACTAATCATGCAACCCCAGAGATGGGAAACAGAGGCTTAGAGAGACGATGGGGA